TCATAATTTCCTGCAAACATAAAATCAATACTTTGACAATTTATGAATTATATGATTCCTTAGTTGTTACTTGATGTCACCAAATGTTTTATACCTGCAGGGAGCGCTTTCCATGAAAGGATTGGCAGGATATCGGCAGGTGACTTGGTCCATCTGGCTTTCTGTCGTTCATCTTGGTTTAGAGACATTTATCATGCACTTGCAGTGACTTTCCACTGAGTGGCAGTGTATGGGATGATGCAATAGGGTCCTATGTAGTGGCTGATGGTGCAACTATGCCATCAAAACCCATGCATATACAAGAAAACACCTTTTGAAAAGCTGTCCACTGTAGTAGCCTCGATGCGTGAAAGGGTTAAACTCAGCGCGCGAGGCCCTCACTAATTAAGCCCCAAACATTTTCGGATAGAGATTATACACCAGTGTCATGGAAAGGTTTAACAACATGAAATTGAGCTATAGACTTGTCAAATATAAAGTGCCACGTATGCTGTCAATGTAGAGGATTTAACCGATATTAACTTGTAACAACAACAAAGTAAGGAGCATTTACTTGGACGACATTCACTGAGTTGATTTCCAGAGCGTTAGCTAGCCATGTTAGCCACTAGAAGAAGAAAAAATGGTGTGGCTATTTGTGTCTACAGACGGGTACCTCAAATTATAATAAAAAATAAAACAGCTTAATAGGACTTACTGAAGCAGAGAGGAAAATGTTTGGGCAGACGGTGACTTATGTTGGTCAGCGCCATATACTGTAGATACTATAGAACATAGAGGGGCTCTGATGTTGGTCTGTTCTATCGCTGCGCGCACGGCAAAAATGGGGCTCCCTCCCACTTGATCGTGGCCTCTGACATGCGCATTAGGTCTACCAACCAAATCTCTTCTACCACAGGGGTTCCCAAAGTGGGGGTCGCGAGATGATTACAAAATTAAAATTGAAAATTAAAACAAATGAATTAATTTATTTTATCAATTTTTTATTATTATTATTATTATTATTATTAATAATAATAACGTGTGCATATACATTAACGTGTGCAATCGAAAGTGAAACTTAAGCCCGCTCCATTTCGGAGATATTCCCGCGAGAGTGCGGAAAACTTAAATTAATTCACTAACTTTTTTTTGTGATTTCCTACCTATTTAGGGTTAAAAAAAAAAAGACATCTTGCTATTTAGACTTTTTTTAATTTAATTTTTAATTTTTAAATGTTACAGTATGTCCACTGTAGAGGACGTCGGGACCTATGGTTATAGAGTGATATTAATACAATAATACATTCACCTTTATTTAAAACATAAATAAGTAATTGATCTGAACATTGCTGTATATTTGGTCACTAAAAAACTAGTTTGGTTTTTGGTGAATCTTTCCAGATCTTCAAAGACTTTGTAGTCAATGTACTGGGAAAAGTACCTCATTGACTCCAGTCGGCACAGGCTGTGGGTCATCTTGATAGTTTTATGGATGTGGTCTCCATTTGACCATGAAACAAAGCTTGCATTCCTGAGGCAATTCTCATTTTTGATGGCTCCACTTAAAATAAAAACAACAATAAGACATATGTGCTACTCTTGGCCCACAGATGGCCATGTCTTTCCAGCTCGTCCCTATCTGTCTCTCTGTCTGTATCTGTAGCCTTTATTTAACCAGGTGAAAAATCCCATTGAGATCAACGATCTCTTTTTCAAGGGAGACCTGCGGTACATTGGTTACACATAAAAACAACAGAAAACAAAAAGGACATCACAACATAATTACAGGGGTATAAATTAGCAACCTATTCACAATGACAGGTATCTAATAACATTTCATCCAGCCGTGCTTTAAAATTATGCAAGGGAATCAAAATGCTCAGTTTAAAAAAAAAATGCATAGTGTTCCAAGCTAGAGGAGCAGCGCACATAAAAGCTTTAGTACCTAAAACAGTCCTAGCACTTGGCACATGTAATAAAAACACATCCTGGGATCTCAGGCAATAGCTACTTGCCACTCTCTGTGAGATCAAAGAGCATATGTTGGGAGTTTACCCAACATAGCTTTATAGATGAATAATGATCTCATGTCGTACCAATGACTGAGCCTCCGTACAGTAAGTGAAGGCAGACCTGCCTTGGCATACAGGGTACAGTGATGAGTAAGTGCTTTACACTTAGTAACAAATCTCAGAGCACTGTGATAGGCGGCATCTAACCTTTCCAGGCAATGGGCAGGTGCATTCATATATATCAAATCACCATAGTCCAGCACAGGTAAAAAGGTCACAGTGACTAGCCTTTTCCTGGCTTCAAAAGAGAAACAGGACTTGTTTCTGAAAAAGAAACCTAGTCTAATGGCGCGTTTCCACTACAGCGCAGAGCACGGTTTAAGAGGGCTGTGACGTCAGCGGCCCGTCTTTGGTTGCGTTTCCACTTGGCCTAGTACCGCCCGGCGGGTCCTAATTCACAGTTTTTCTGGCCTCATAAAATCGTGGGTCTAGGGCCAGAGACAACGAGGCTGAGTCGGGCTGAGTATGCTAAACTAGAGAGAGCATCGCTGGCAAGGGGGCTACAACTACAACAAGATGGACATATTTGACCGTGATTTAATTGTAATACACGTTTCAAAATGATGCCGAAGTAACAACATACTGATACCGGTTAGTAAAAACCATGAATTAATGCTTTGTCAAGTCTGCAGACAGACGGCAGGCGAAAAACCTTTTAAAATGCGTGTTTTCTAAATGGAGATTGGCTAAGCTAACGCAGTATATGCTCCGACCGTCCACACTCACAACAACGGCCTATACAGACATAAATAAAGCAGCGACTGTATTCGCCATGACACAGACAGTCTGTGGTTTGTACTTGTTTAACTTTTGTCTAGTTTCTGAACATATATGAGGAGCTGTGAGCTCTGAGTGCTAACAGCTAACGGCTGTGTTGTTTTTCTGGGGTTCTCATTGAAGAGGACGTCACGGCTCCGCCTACACTGCGTTACTATAGATACTACCCCAGTTCCTAAACTGTAATGGAAATGCGCCATAAAGTGAGCCAGTCCTAACGAGGCCTAGCCATACCGAGCGGGGCCGAGCAAGGCCGTGTAGTGGAAACGCGCCATAACCCTCAGCTTTTTAAGCAGATTAATGACCTGAAGTTTAAAAGTAAGACAATCATCAAGCCAGATACCAAGGTATCTGTGCGCTCATGGAGCCTCCTGCATCTTTTCCCCCATTCTTCTTGACCCTCTTCTATCCCAGGTGTGAAATCCTCATCTCTCTCATCATCTGAGAGCTCAAAATCTTAATCTCCCTTAACTATCTGGTACAGAAAATGTCTGCTTCAGTTCCGTCTCCTGCAACAATATTGAGTCATTAAGTCCATGAAGATGGTCCTGACGTCCACTATAATGGACATTTATAAAAGAGCTGTTATTTGAAAACTTGAATTATTTAATTGCTTTCAGAACTAGTTATATAGTTCCTCACATGTTAATAAACAAGAACATATATGATGGTAAAAATTACAATTATTCAACAATATTTGACTTCTCCTGCTTCTATAACATTTTGTTTTTGGTATGCCAGCCATTTTGGATGAAAAGAAAGAGGAACTTCCCAGCATGCAATTGTAACCAATGACATATCACTGGAAAGACCAGGATGTCCTCTGTACAGTACATCAGGGATTGATAGAGTAGCTCAAAAGAGTAAAAGGAGATGCATGTTAACAAAATGTCCACTACATTTTCAATGGGCTGGGTCCCAGGAGGATATAGGTCTAATTATACATTTTTAAATTATGTAAAGTCATCACAATCCGCAGGAAAAAAATAAAATAAAATGTGACTATTCAAAATAAAATGTTGAATTAAGTCAGTGGTGTATTAAGTATAAGTTACACCCAATTTATATATACAGTCTATGGTTACACCCTATAAAAGTAGTCAACGTTTTAAAAACGCTTATTTATTATGATTTATTTTCAAGCAATACTTCCGGAATAGGCGTCAGAATAAAAGCAGGAAGTTGTAATTATGATATACATTTTGCTAGCTTGTGAGAAAGTGTGAAACATTTAAGATTCATAGAGATAAATAATACATATGCTTTTTGTAATTATGATAGGAATTTCAATGTAAACTTTCAAATGTTTTTTGAACAGATATGCAAAACCTCATGAATTTGAAAATGGGTATTAATGTACAGATTAATATACAGTATGTGTGCTTATGGGATATATACCAATATTAACTGTAAGGACCTAAACGGACTGTAGTAATAGTAAGATAAGATAAAATGGACCTTTATTAATCACCATTGATGGGACACCTCTTTATTGTAAAGAAAGACAATGAATACGTTTGTCAATACTTTGATACCCTGTATGATACATATACAAGGCAGACACTTAGTTTTTGTGCAACCTTTTTTATATTGTGATTGGAGAAAGTGCATGTCAAAATACTCAGGCGTGTATGCCTATATCACTAAAGTAAATAAAAAATCATTGAAGTACTCTGACATAATTTGTTATTTACAGTAGATATTGTAATATGTGTTTTGACATCCTGCTTTTAGTTAGTGGGTCTAATTATTTACCTAAAGAAAATTGTTCTGAAAGCCAGGGGCCCATATTGGTCTTTGGTCAATCTTTAACGACCGCACCTAACATACAGTATCTATTTTATTTAGTTGTCTCTTTCTTCACCTTTGCTGTAACAATGTGAATGTCCCCTCTGTGGGATGAATAAAGGAAGTTCTGATTTCCTCCATTATTTTTGTTTACGTGTAGGCCGTTATATCCTGTGATTAACCTCCAGGGGGCTCCATATCATTCTTTTTTTAATGATTTCAATGTGCTTTGCCCAGCGTGATCTTCACTGGTTTCCTGAAAGCCTACATTATCTCCTCTGTACATTGGATGGCGATAGAGGTCTTTGAGACTTTCGCAGGGCGTGTCTTCAACAGACCAGACGCCATCAGTGCCCCCCTTATCATACCATTCAAGGGAAGTATTTGGAAACGAGAAGTTGGATCGATCACATGGTTTTACTTATTTTACTTATTAATCCTACTTACGCTCGCAAAAACAATGCCTTCGATTCAAAGTTTAACTTTGACTTATGACTCGCTGAATGAGCAGGGGACGTTTTCGGAGGGTGACACTATCTCTGGGAAAGTAACCCTGGCCTTGTTAAAGCAGGTCAAAGTAAATAGCTTTTTTATTAAAGCAACAGGAGATGCAAACGTACATTGGACGGACGGGAGCAGCAATGACGGGAGCAGCGGGAGCAGCAATGACGGGAGCAGCAACGGGAGCAGCAATGACGGGAGCAGCAATACATACTCTGCTCATAAGAGATATTTCAAACTAAAGCAGTTTTTATTCCCAGAGACCTCCAAGGGTAGGCGCTACATTTCTTGTCATTTATGCATGCCTTAACCCAGTGTTTTTCTAACGGGGGTACTAGGACCCCTATGGGATACTTGAGTCCTGCATGGATGTGCCCTGCCTCTGTATGCATGTGTGTGAATGGGTGAAGGATGACTTGCACTTTGAGGACTCCTAAAGACTGGATAAAGCCTTACCGTTTATCCAGAGGTGGGAGAAGTACTCAGATCTTGGACTTCAGTAAAAGTAGAACTACGAGAGTGTAGGAATACTCTGTTACTGTACAAGTAAAAGTCCTGCATTCAAAATGTTACTCAAGTAAAAATAAAAAAGAATTTGCAGAATAATCCATTTCAGAATAATATTATATGTGTCGATTACAATTATGTGTTTATCACAGCTGGTAAAGGTGCAGCTAGTTTTAGCTAGCTTGTGAATTGAATCCATGTTTAACTAAAGTCCTTTTTAAGTGTTGATTATATTTCACATTATTAATACAAATCTGTAAAGTAACTAAAACAAATAAATGTCGTGGAGTAGAAGTACCAAGTAGCATAAAATGGAAAGTATTTATCTCAAAATTGTACTTAAGTACAGTACTTGAGTAAATGTATACTAGTTACTTCCCACTGCTGCATTTATCTCTTATTTTGTCAATAACGTCTATTTAATGGTTGTTGTTTGTAACAGGTGTCTTTTTCTTCACATTTTTATGCAAAAGGCATAGTTATATGCGCTACTCCCCCAAAATGATTTTAGTTGATCAGGGCTACAAAAATATTTCAAAGGGGGAAATATGTTGAATAAGTTTTAGAAAGACTGCTGAATGCGGTTTGCTCTTTTCTTTTTGTCCATTGATGTTCATGGTCGATAAGTCAGTGATGTTAAAATATTCATAGCTATAAAAAAGTGGTAATAACACAATATTAAAACAATATAATTAAATGTAGTTTAACTTCATTTAAATACATGGAATATGTCAAATTACATAGTTGGTTAATCAGGAGCACATTTTAACTATGACGATTACATAATAGGGCAAAATTAGAACTTTGTCCTATTATGTAATAATAAAATGTAGAGCAAGCATTTCATTGTAAATCTAAGATAAAGTGCATGTGTTATTTTCCACCAATCTGTTCATTACTAACATATTTATTTGTTAGCTACTAACAGCAGGGTTACCACTGTAAATATTAACACTAAAATCCATTTTCCTTTTAGACACTGTACTTCCCAAAGGAATCCATGTCTACAAATTCAGCTTAAACATTCCACAAGGGTAAGCACACAAGACAATCAACCAAAACAGGATGTTTGCACGTTCACCGTGTTTTTCTTTGCAAACAGGAACACATAGCCAATCTCAGCACATAACTGAATTTGATTCAATTTAAATTATTGATGTTAATTCATTTCAGATTATATAACAATTATTCGGCTGGTTCTCTATTTCAGAAGCGTGCCTTCATCCTTCAAGGGACCTCATGGAAAGATTGTCTACAAGCTGGAAGCCAAGCTGTCCAGGAGTTGGAGGATGGACCAATCAGTGGAACAGAACATACTGTTTGTCTCCAGGTGTTATCCCAACCTTCATTCTCTGATGGTGTGTAAAAAAGTGATACATAGATACACAAATATCAGGTATTGTTATTGGCATCGGTAGTGAAAAAATGTCACAGTCAACAGTCCTTTTCTCTTAGCATTTTTCATGGGGGGGGTGAAACAGAGAAGATAAAATCAAAATATAGGTATTACACCACATTCTACTTTATTCCTTGCTATATCCAGCCATGTAGATAGTCCTACAGTTTAGGGATAACCAGCTATGAAATCTATCCCACCACTACCCAACAATAGTGATGCATTTCATTTGGAGGGTTCCAGGTTCAAGCTATTGTGCACAGCAAGCTTGCTCACTGGTTTGGCTTACTAAGATACTTATATAGAACAGAGCTATCGTAAATGGCATGAGCTTCACATGATAAGTCAAAACTTCTGCTGTGATTAATGTCATCCGGGATTTGGATTTAAATTGGTCCTGCTTGAATTTAAAGGGGACCTATCATGCACACAAAATGCACTTTTTGATGTCTTATATACATAAATATGTGTCCCCGGTGTGTCGGGGAACTCACATAGCGTCAGAAAATAAAACCCTTTCTCTTTTCCTCCGTACCTGAATCTTTTAAAAACGGGGGTACAACGAGCGGATACAGATTTGCTCGGCGGCAGACCCACAGAAAGTTGCTATCAGAAACAATGCCTGACGTGTTTTGGACGTAATCTCGTCTTTGTTTACATTAGGAAGCCTTGCTAACACTCAGAGCTAACCTGTACTGTAGGAGCACGTGTGTTTAACACTAGAACCGCCAGAGATTTTTTATACCTAAAACCGCCACCTGGGTCAAATTGACCCGCTATTAGAATGCATTGATTGTCAAGGTAAAATATTCTTTTATTGAACAGTGAGTTTTGATCACACAGGGATGAAACGTATACCAATATAATCTGTGGACTCTCAGGGCTCGACATTATAAATGGCCCGCTGGCCCGGAAGCATTATTTAGACACCGCGGCCAGCATAATGTACTTTCAACTCGCCCCACAGCTGTTTGCTGCGGAGCGCAGCGCGAGCGCACTCCTTCACTACAGACTGTCTCTCTGTTGTCTGTCTGTCGGTCTGTCTGTCTGTCTGTCTGTCTGTCGTCGTCTGTCTGTCTGTCTGTCTGTTCTGTCTGTCTCTATCTCTCGTCTGTCTCTCTCTCTCTCTCTCTCTCTCTCTCTCTCTCTCTCTCTCTCTCTCTCTCTCTCTCTCTCTCTCCTCTCTCTCCTCTCTAACTATCTATCTATCCATCTATCTCTCTCTCTCTCAATCTATCTCTCAATATATAAGGAACCGCAGTAGACAAAGGCGTTGCTATAGCAACACGTCATGTTTATATGAAAAGGGGTGGGGTCAATATGACCCGCTTGGCGGAAATAGGTATAAATGGCAATTTTTTGGGCGATTTCTTCAATCTGACTTCATATTGACAATTTTTTAACAACATAGGGTGCTACATAACACACTTTCAGGAAAAGTCACGGACTGGAAGACTTTAATATTTTATTGAAAAAAAGTTACACGCAATAAAAAACAGCTCTGGGTCAAATTGACCCGATTGGCGGTTCTAGTGTTAAAAAGCAGGAAATAAAAAAAGGAACTCACCTTGTGATAAACCGCAAGAGAAAAGCATTGGAGCTCCATACTGTTTCAGAAATAATCCTTGATGTGGTTTAGAACAGGATGGCGTTTTATCACAGCAGAATTGAACTTTATCTCCAGTAGAATTCTGATCAGGCATTAGCTCCGCCTCCTCTTTTCTTTTTTTTTAAGCTAAGGACCCAAAATCGACGTTTCTCTAACAGGCCTGCAAAAGAGGGGTATGAGCACTATGAGGCATGGCTACAATAGGTGATCTGTTTGGTATTTTATGCAAAAAAACTTCACAGACATGTTTTGTATAGGTATGGCCCTACAATATATTTTTCAATAGCATAATAGGTGCACTTTAAATTAAAAGAAAATGTTTTTGCAACGTTCTTCAGTAGAAAGTTGTTCTAGTGAAATTGCTCACCATGTACAGTAATGATATATGTTCGTGTACAGTCAACAATAATATTCACAGGAAATGTGAGTGACACACAGTCCTGGTCCCAAGGACTCATGTTTCTTATTCTGCCCCAACACTTAACACTTAATCATGCACTGTATTGGAAGTGGATCAAAAGTAATAATTCTCTCTGTTTATTGTGTTCTAGTTGCCCCAGATTGGTGCTTGCAACAAAGAAAGAGATGGGACTTTTCTCCAAAGGACAAGCAGACATGGAAGTCACGATTGACAGGATGGCCTACGCCCCAGGTAATAAACAGTCCCCTTCAAACAGGGTAGGTTCAACTCATGGAAAGTGTTCCTCTCTATGATAAATGCAGAAAACCATTTATCACAGACTTGCAAAACAGGGAATTCTTTTTAATAAAACTAAAGTACTGGTGATATTATAGTTGAATTGTCATATCCTAAGTGTTACTATTGCCAACAAGAACAATATTCAGGGAACTGTAGTAGGTTTGTTTCACAACAGACATGTTGACATGTAATTCCAGGAAAAGCACGTCCGTCATCAGTCATTAGTCTGTTGTCAGTGATGGTTTTAATAAAAAAGAAAGTGTTGCTAAAAAGAATGTTTTGATTAAAGTAATTTGAAGGAAGTAGCCTAATCCCTCTGATTTAAGGAATTGATCAGACAAAGGTAGCATGACTAAAATAATAAGTGGGTGGGGTTTAGCCTTTTAACTCTGTTGATATAAAGTGGATAAGTTGTGTCTCACAGGCATAACAATAATCTGCCTTCATATGAGACACACTCTTTAGCACAGTGCATTGTTCTATGCGGCAATGAATACAAAATGAACAATACATGTTGTTAAGGAATAATTCTTCTAGATATCTAACCTTTTGCTCTGTGACCGGTCAACTTGACTGGCACGAAGGGTAATTGTTGTGGGAACACTGAGGCACTTCTTTATCGGTGTTTGTGGGCTCTAGGATGTGAAATCCTTGAGGCCATGAGTGTCGGACGCAGGTGGCTCAGTGTTTAGTCTACTCCTTCAGAGATGTTGATTTCTCTCTGTGAACCAGTTAAAAGGTCTAGCATAGAGAGAGGCTCTTCAGAATTGACGTGGCAACTCTACGTTGTAGTCAGAACCTCCGATCTCTTTGATTTGTGATGTGAATCCTCCGGCCGAATACTCTGAATAAACCCATCAGTGTTTGACATCAAAGCTCCAACTCTCACCGTGTCTCCTTCCTGAGTCGGTGACTCCATGCATTACTACACAGAAGTTTCCTCCACAAATTGGCGTTGTCGGCAGGATACCAACAAATCTTCAGAACTGGTAAGTGTGATTTCAAATCTACATTTGGACATTGCCTTACCAGAATCTGTGATTGACGGTATCCTAAAATTATCTGTGAAGCTAAGCGGCCTGCGTTTCGTTTTGGTTAATGAACATTTGGGGCTAGTAACCCCAGGGGATCATCCAGGGACTCTGTCTTGGCTGGTTCCCTCTGTGTGTGCTGCTCGGGACATGTGTGCCGCACAGGCAGTCGCAGAGATGTTTAAAAATCGCCTCTAAAAATAAACACGGCTCCAGCCGCGGCTCCGGGTGTGTGTGTCCTCTGTGTGTGCTGCTCGGGACATGTGTGCCGTACAGGCAGCCGTTTTGCTGCTCGGGGCATGTGTACAGGCAGTAGCAGGGATGCAAAATACCTCCCCGTATCTGCATGGGCTGGTGAAGTGAACTCAGAGGGAGAAAATCACAGCTTTTGTCTATAGCTTTAACTCACACCACCACCGTCTCTATTAAAAACGAGCGGTTTTTAAAAGCACCTCTCGTGGCTTGTGGCCGTTTACGACGAGTTGGCAGGTGCGAGGTGCGTGCATTACCTGATGCGACACAGCTCCCTACATATGCTGGAGGAGCTGGTGCCGGTCCGGGGGTGCATACATAAAATTATAGGCTAATTGATCACGGGTGGCAGTGGCATGCAAGTGTAGAACAAAACTGTGTTTCATCGTTGGGATGAACACGATAGCCTGTGTATAGGCTGGTCGAGTAGGACTACAGTTAACTGTGCAGTTTTGGATTAGAAAGGGTAGCGGAAAAAAGTCTATGCGCTCCTGATCGGGGGGGCATAGCACCACTAGAGCAGAGTAGTGGGGTCGCAAGAGGATAAGCTAGTTATTGCTCTTGGACAGCTGCCAGGCACCGATCTAAGACTTGTATACAAGGGTGGGAGCGCGAGTCAAGGTGCACCACTGAGAGATAATTCCCTACCCCCTCTGAAGCCTCTTGAATTCGGACTAAATTGAGCTGGATGAGCTGTTGCTGACGCACTGGTGTTTATTACGAGTTCATGTTTGTTTGTCTGATTGTTTGTATCAGGGGTCTATATTGGTTTGTCTAACCGCCGTCTTGTGCATGTTTTGTAACAACTAATAATGAATCAGTCCATAGCCAGGGTAAAATAAACTAAGCTTTAGTTAACTCACCAAAAGTAAATGACTTGAGAAAAATAAATAATATATAGTGTTTTGCAAAATTCTGGTAGTATAGATGTGCTGCAAATGAAAATAAATAGCAAAAGAGTGTTTTTATGTCCTGCATCTGAGTGTGCAGAGGAACATGTAAACAAGGAGCACACTGTTCAGGGCTGTAGGTGTAAGAAGAAAATAAGATTATATTATTTTAAGAATACATTCTTAAATTGTATTGCTGGTATGTTAAGATATGTTTGTGACCTTTTATAAACCCTATGCCCCGTCCTGCACCCTGAGACCCTCAGAGGCATCACTGCTGGTCGTAAACAACCTGCCTGAGGAGGTCAGGGTGGCAAAATCTGTCTGCTGTTTTAGGTCAATATTGTATTATTTGTTTCATTTATTCTTAAATCTATGTATTGTATGGTAATAATGAAAAAAAAACGTAATGTATTGAACACATTCCGAAACAAAGCTGATAAGACAGAACTTGACTCAGACATAATACAAATTATTGTTGAAACCTTTTGCGCTGTTGCTGCAAAATGGAAACTTTGTTGATTATCTGTTCCAACTGGCCACTGGAATCAGATAATTAATATAAGTTGAAGTTTAATTACAGTTTTAAATATAGTTTAACATTCTTTATTAAACTGCTTCAAATGATTTCTCGTATCAACCAATTGGTCTCCATAGACATTACTACAATTCTAATAGTTGTTAAACTACTGACAAGTTTTCTGAAACCGAGCTTATGAACAAAAGAGTAAAGGTCGCTGGTTAAGCCAGGATCAATATATTTGTTGACGTTTTCATTACAGTGTGCATAATAAATGTGTTAAATGAATTGAGCAATTCTTTTAAAAAGTATAATGTTGCAATCTCTTTACAATAAGTAATTACAGTTAAAAAAAGTAGATGTTGTTTTCCAAGGGCCTCTCCTTCACAGCCCTACACTTTAAATCATGACTTTCAAATCATAACAGACAGAGATCGGTATCACTTTGTGTTGCAAGCCAAATCCATGTAAAGGTTCTACTTGAGCCCAATTTAAATACCATAAAGAAAGTATTGAACCCAGCTCAAGCTAAATGTCAAATGTATTTAATTAATGTACAGGTGTTTTGATTTATTTAAAATGTTCCAGTCTAGCTTCTTTCGAGTTCAGTCTAAGCAACAAATTGTTTCTCATAACATTCTCACTGCTGTCCCAAATGTTTTAACCTTGGGCAGACAAGCTGTTCACACACCCACACACACCCACACACACCCACACACTTTGGATAAGCAGTCACCTTATCCACATTGTAAATTGTTGCCTTCTTTAAAGTTATGAGTAATTTAAGATTAATTATTAAATTAAATGTGGTACATAAGATAAAATAAATAAAATAACTTTGACTTGATCATTTTGTTCACAACATTAGACCTGTTCTCTAATCTCTACTAGAATAAGATAAGTGTGCATGTTTGGATGTTTTAACACTCCTGTAATGTACCTAATCTTGATATCTTTTTCATTACAGGAGCTGGGAAAATGGTGTATTGATTAGATTCTGATCCGTGCACGTCCAATTTTGACTGACTTTAGTTCTAATGTTAATGTTAATTTCACTTCAACCCATAAGTAATTATTTAAATTAACTCTAAATTTCACATGATGATGGATTAGGGTTCCACATTTCTTCCACTAATTTGTTTTACAATTAGGCCAAAGGTAAAGAGAGACATTGATGACCTTGTGTCCCTGTTGTTAGTACGTGGTTCCATTTTGTCTATGGCCTTGGACGGCTTCACTAAAAGTCACCCAGTTCTGCCCTGCTAAAGTCCGGCTGAGTGCAGTCACAGAGATGCTATGGCTGCTCTACATGACATTAATGGTCTGGTCCGAGAATGGACACCATTTCCTGCTCCCAGAGAGAATGACACTCCTCAAACTGAACATTACAGCCGTTGATACTGTCTCACATGGGTCTGCTCCCCCCCCCACCGAGCAATGAACTGAAAGCATGACATCTGCTATGAACACTTGGAAGCCTCCCTGTCACACCAGCACCAACCCTTGGGTCAGTCAGATGAGACTAACGGCTTCACTTAGGGCATTTGGTTCAGATACATGACTCTCGTTACCACAGAGTGGGTTGTTTTTAAGGCTATTCATACTGCTATGATGTCCTGTAAGTGGGCGAGCTGGTAAAAGCCCCTACTATTGTTTCAAATAGGCCTAATGTCAGGGGTCTCTTAATGTCTAGTTCTACATGTATTCACATTATATAGACAATGTTTCCACCTGGTAAAACTAAAGGCTGCACAAAACTCAGGCTACAATACAACCATTCTGTTCTGCTCTAACAATTCAATTTATAGATTGTACATCAAAACAATTAGCTTTTATTGTTTCCAATGATAACGTCACCTTAAGTGGAGGAATGCAAACCTGTTTTCAAATGTAAGGTTTTGATTTTGTTTGACATTTCTCAGTAATGACACCCTCAGACACCCAATATCATTCCTGCTATGCCTTCAGTAATAACTCAGATGTTAAAGGGATGAAACTTTTCCTCCCAAATCAGATATGCTTTGTTTTCCAACAAATGTATCAATTTCCTGCATAATATATGTTTATCACAATGGTTTTTTGTAAACTGCACACAGGTGATACTGAGTCTTCTCGATTAATAGATTATAAACTATACCATGCTTAAATAGACTCCGAAGTTATTATTTCATATGTACCATATGTAAGAAAAGGGAGAGAAGAGTCAATTATATTGGGTAATTTATTTCTCAAACCTATGTTTTATGGAAGAGACAAAATATTTCTGATAAACTAATATTTTATCAAAAGGTAAATGGTGAATTAATATACATTTAGAATCATTGAGAAGGGGTTAATTCCACAGGGACTAGCTCACTTTAACTTACAATAACATGTCTCTGCTATGGACTGATGAGTATATGATTCTTGTATGTTCAATGACTAACACAAACCTTCAAAATGATAATGTGCATGTGTCAGGAAGGCTCCCAAATAATTCTGAGGGGCCTATCCTATTTTTGTAATTAAACGATAATGTGCTAATCCATTACTTTGAGTTGTCTTCACTCAGAAAAACATCCCTATCAGGTGTTAACCCAATAACTAGGACAGCTCTCAAGGCCAAGGCTCAGAGAGAGAGGGTCACACTCTCCGGGTGCAGAGAGCACCCCCAGCCACGTGCAAGGAAGCACGAGGTTGTTCGAGATGGGATGCTTCTCTTCACCTTTCTGATAAGAGGGGGTTCTTCTCTTCATCTTTCTGCTCGGTGGGCTCTAGCAGACAACCCTGCAGGACGAGCGAGGGCTTCAGAGGCTTCTATAATACAAGGTTCCATGTTTCTTGGAGGAGTTTGATGTATTCCTAACCTCTCCCATCACGGGGGGGACACCTGGATGCATCAGGAATACGCAGTTGTACTCAAGCAGATAGCAGAAGGAATACAGGCAGATGAGCCTCCGTCTCACTGGGGGGTCAGCTACAGAGCTCACTGAATGAGCCACACAATAGCAGAGCAATTGGGGGGTTTGAAATATGGCGCTCTGATGAAGAAGAGTTTGAGCCAATCAGCACCTCAGTGCTAATCTACAGTATCAGGATGCCTTTACACACCAGACACTCGGTGTCATAAAGGGAGGAGGAGAACGAGTCAGGAAGACTGACGGACATGTTCTTCCAGCTCTCGTACAAAGATGAACTTTGAATTGAATGGCCAGATGTTTAAAGATGTACAATTAATGATTGGTTTTTATTAGGGCTGTCAGTCGATTAAAATATTTAATCGCGATTAATCGCATGATTGTCCATAGTTAATCGCGATTAATCGCAAATTAATCGCACATTTTTTATCTGTTCTAAATGTACCTTAGAGGGATATTTTTCAAGTTTTTAATACTCTTATCAACATATGAGTGTACAACTATGCTTTATATGTTTGTTTATTATCATTTGAACAATGACAAATATTCTCATGAATATTAAACACAACAACCTCTGAACATTACAAATATTCGCCTCAATTCAACCTAGAACCTCTCTCATACAATACTGTGTGTGTGTGTGTGTGTGTGTGTGTGTGTGTGTGTGTGTGTGTGTGTGTGTGTGTGTGTGTGTGTGTGTGTGTGTGTGTGTGTGTGTGTGTGTGTGTGTGTGTGTGTGTGTGTGTGTGTGTGTGTGTGTGTGTGTGTGTGTGTGTGAATGTGGAGGATCGTTGGAGCTATGTGCAGCTCAAGGCATATATGCCTGTGTGTATGAGCTGTGTTGCGGCACTATCCGTGCTGAGTGTGCTGTCTGGCTACCTGCATAAAGTCAAGTGCTCGGCGCAGTTGTCGGCGAAATGTCGCTCCTCTGTTTTCATTGAAACAGCTCCTTATATCCGTTAGCTCAGCTAGCTAGCACCAGATGCTAACAACAACACGTAAGGTGTGCTTCGCTCGCGCCACACATACACACACCCTCCCGGTCCTCCCGATGGCCAGTCCGGGCCTGCCGGTGAGCGTGGAAGTGTGGTCTGCCACAAGCGGGCAGCAGGAGCGGGGCTGTCAGCATCAGCTTGTAGATGGTATTTTAAACTCGATGCGCTCTGAAACTACGGCGGCCGAGGACAAAAAATACACATGCGTTAATCGCGTTAAAATAATTAGTGGCGTTAATTTTTTTTTGCGTTAACGCGTTATTAACGCGTTAACTTGACAGCCCTAGTTTTTATATTTCCAATGACCAGACATGTGTTAAATAGTGGTGATTAATATATTTAGTCAGATCAGATTACACTTTCACACTAAACAAAATTAATAAATAAATATTTTCAGATTATAAGGTATTAAATAATAAGGTATTTCTAATATTATAACAGACAATGTTAATATCCTTAATCATCCAGCAATCAGGCTTAACAACACTACTCTTTAATGTATTACCCATGCACAGACAGACATAAAATGATGTTTCAAGTACTGGATTAATTTCAGTTTTGGCCCAAAACAAATATTTATAATAGTTCATATAACAATTATGTAGCATATTTGATCCTCAAATTAGAGAAGTATAATTTAAAGAAATTGATATTCTATATTCAACATTAGATAAACACAGAAGAACCCTTTCCAAGTACCATAAGTAGATGTTCAGGTAAGTATGGCTAATAAGAATAATTGATAGACTTCATTTGGTACAGATCAGTTGTAGCATTTACAAATGTATGAATTAAAGTTTTAAGAATGTTTAATCTTTCCTTTCCAGGTTTTTACAAAAGTCTTTGAATATTTGCCTAACTTTTCCTTTTCAGATTTTGAACAATGTACTTGACTAAAATGAATGTACTGATTTTACTAAGACTAAGTGCCTTACTCTTGGCTAAAGCGTAATGAAGTAAACGTAAAGTAATCCTAAAATTGAGGACACTGCAACTTTGCCGATTACAGATTGATCAAATCACCACTGTGAATTTTATGCCTTAGCTGGATATCTTATGATCCTAAGTTTTAAATGCTTTTGACTAGTGATTGCCTTAAAGCAAATCTTTAAGCTGCAAGCTGGTTTTGATTTTACAGTTTGATAAATGACATTAACTAATGGTTTAAATGATAAAAGATATTAGTTTAAGACAAATATTTTGCTATTATGTATCTGTGTTTTATGTGTGTTCATTATTGTGCTTATTGACAAAAGATGCTCCAAACACTGATGAGAGATAATTTTTCCTATTATGATTGGCTGTATCAATCATTGTGATTGAATGTTTCAATCTTACTCTACTTTGTGATGTAATTGAATGTAAGGTGAGACCACACTCGAATCTGAAGACGCCTATTGATTTAAGTATTGACCAGAATTATTATTAGACTAATGTTTTAAGGTTATCAAAAATGATAAAAAGAGAGGAACTGTTAAGGAATAATTCTTCTAGATATCTAACCTTTTGCTCTGTGACCGGTCAACTTGACTGGCACGAAGGGTAATTGTTGTGGGAACACTGAGGCACTTCTTTATCGGTGTTTGTGGGCTCTAGGATGTGAAATCCTTGAGGCCATGAGTGTCGGACGCAGGTGGCTCAGTGTTTAGTCTACTCCTTCAGAGATGTTGATTTCTCTCTGTGAACCAGTTAAAAGGTCTAGCATAGAGAGAGGCTCTTCAGAATTGACGTGGCAACTCTACCGTGTAGTCAGAACCTCTGACTCTTTGATTTGTGATGTGAATCCTCCGGCCGAATACTCTGAATAAACCCATCAGTGTTTGACATCAAAGCTCCAACTCTCACCGTGTCTCCTTCCTGAGTCGGTGACTCCATGCATTACTACACAGAAGTTTCCTCCACACATGTTATGTTGTTTTCCTCATAGGTGAAACTATCACAGTTTTGGCCAAAATCAACAATTCCTCGTCCAGTGAGATGACACCCAAATTCCGTTTGGGCAAGAAGGTGATCTACCGTGCCAGCGGTAGAACCAAGCGCGAGGAGTGCACTATCATCAAAGTGGTCGAAAACCGTATTCAAGCCCATACAGAGCTGGAAGTCAGGTGTAGAATGAAGATTCCTCTCGATCAGACAACAACTATCCAGAATTGTGACATCCTCTCAGTGGAATATCATTTAAAGGTAGGCAACAGTGTATATTTATTGTAAAGAATAACAAGCTGCCTTAAAGGTAGGGTAGGTAAGTTTGAGAAACCGGCTCGAGATCGCTAGAATTTGAAATACACAACCGGAGAAAATCTGCCACTTCCTTATAGAGCCCCTCCTCCAACACACACGAACGCGCACATGACCAATGAGGGCACGAGATAAGTTTGTGCACAGATGGAAGGCTGACAGGCAGGTAGGCCATCCAGTTATTTTAGCCGGGCCGGCTAAAATGATTGGTCGTGCTTTTTACAGTACTACGGCTTCCACAGATGACATTTTTTTATGGATTTTTTGTCAAAGCACTTAAGATATTCATTGCTATCGGGATGTTAAGAGCATTCCATGGAATATAACAAAAAGTGTATCTCGAGCCGGTTTCTCAAACTTACCTACCCTACCTTTAAGAAATTGTCAATGAAGTCCTAATTAAGCTGTCATATTTTTCTTAGGCGTATCTGGACATCAGCTTTGCCTTCGATCCAGAGGTCCTCTTCCCATTGGTCGTTGTTCCTTTAGGCTTTGCTCCTGTCCCTCAGCCTGGTGTGGCTGCAGGTCCTTATCCAGCGGGGGCTGTTGGGGGCCCTAGCAACAGCGACTTCCCTCCCCCTGTAGTGTCTGGGCATCCTTATCCTGTCTCCCCATCCTCAGGCAGGTCTGGAAACCCAGGAGCCCCAATGTATTCAGCACCACCACCACCTGTGTACCCAGGTAACCCAATGGTGTTTCCTTGTCCACCAAGTGTTTACCCTGCTCAGCCCGCACATGTGAGTGGGGCCTACAACAACCAAGTGCCTGAGATACCTTTTCCGTATGGAACTCCATTTTCATCTTCTTGTGATTCACCCTCCGCCAACTGCCCCAACATTTCAAACACCCCCAGCTGCCCCAGCGATCTACCTACCCCCATCTCTCCCAGAGATCAACCTACCCCCTTCTTATTCACCCTTCAATGTATCCCCAACGGCTCCATCGTACAACCTGATGAACACAGACTTCCTGGGTCAATCGGATGAAGCTCCTCCAGCATATACACTCCTTTTCCCCTCCACTGCTACTGACAAATCAGATGCAAAATAATAGTATGATTGCTCGATGACTGGATTGGTTTATTAATCATGATGTAAAAAAAACTAATAGTTAAAAGTTTTAATCAGTCATGTCCGGTCATGTCTTTATTTTTGTTGTTGATTTCTAAGCATGAATGTGAGATTGAAAAGGCATCTTAACTTTTTGCATGTAAAAAAGTATACCCAAAATATCACTTATGCATTGCATGTGATGGTTGTGTGATGGTCAATTCAGAATGATCATTGCCAGCTGCCAACATAATTACTCAAACTTCAGCCTTCAGTATTGACTGTGTATTTCACGTGCCTTATTTAACTCAGGTGTCTTTAACTGATCAATCTTTCAGTTTTATTGTTTATAGGCTACATACTGTCACGATCTGTCTGTGTTGTGTTTTGTCTTGTCTTTTTCTGGTTTCCTGTTTTGTTTTGAAATGTTTTCCTCGTGTCTTCTCTGTTCCTTCTTCCTGTGTTTGCCTTCCTGTCTTAGTTTCCCTGGTGTGTCTGATTGTTTGATTGTGTTCACCTGTTGCCCTTGTGTTTCTGCCTCCCTTACCCCAGCTGTGTCTCGTCTTGTGATTACCCCTCTCTGTATTTAGTCTTGTCTCTTCCTGTGTTCCCCTGTCGGTTCATTGTTGGTTTTTCCTGTCTTCCTCCATGTCAGTCATGTTTGTTTCTCCTGTCTCCCACCATGTTGGTCACGGTCAGTTTTCTGTAGAACCTATGTGTTTCATGCCATGCTATTGTTAAGCTTTAAGAATAAAGCTCGTTTTTGTTTCGAGACCGTTTACCTTTTCTGATAGTCTGCATTTGGGTCCTACCCTTCCACGCATTCCTTACAGAATGAACCGACCAATTATGGACCCAGCGGATTATGTTTTTGATTTTGATGCTGAATTGCTTTCTCTGGATTACTCCCTTCGATGTCTTTATACTGTGTGGAGTGGAACCTCGACTAGCAGGGAGAAAGAGGCTGTCCTGAAAAGAGCACAAATGGAGGTGGATAATGTGCCATGGCTGAGGAGCTCGTTGCCTGAATTTCTCAGAGTTTTTTCGCGTAGCCCTGAGTGCCAGTCTCCATTCTCTGATCCTTTTTTGGGATCCCGCCTGGCGTTTGGAGGTCCACGGAGCCTCCAAAAGACCTCAAAGAGACGCAAGGCCAGGATTCAAGCCGTGGCCCCAGCAGCCATGGTTCCAGCCCCAGCAGCCATGGTTCCGTCCCCCATTTCCTGCTCCTGTCCAGGAGCCGTTCTCGGGCACTCGTCTGGCTTTTGGAGGTCCACGGAGCCTCCAAGAAGCTCATAAGAGGAGTCGCAAGTCCAGGCTAGCAGCCCGAGCCCCAGAAGCCATGCTTTGGGCTCCAGTGCAGGCCCCAGCAGCCATGGTTCCCGGCCCCAGTTCTGGCCCCTGCAGCCATGGTTCCATGCCCAGCAGCCAGGGTGCCTGCTCCAGTACCGGCCCACACAGTCATGGTTCCGTGCACCAGTACCGCCCCCACACAGTCATGGTACCGTGCTCCAGTACCATCCCACACAGCCATGGTTCCGTGTTCCGGTTCCGTGCCCAGCAGCCAGGGTGCCTGCTCCAGAACCGGCCCATACAGCCATGGTTCCAGCCCCAGTTCTGGCCCCAGCAGCCATGGTTCTAGCTCCAGAACCGGCCCATACAGCCATGGTTCCAGCCCCAGTTCTGGCCCCAGCAGCCATGGTTCCGGCCTCTGTTCCGGTCCAGCACGCCATTTCCCATCAGGGAAATCTTCTGGGCCAACATGAGCAGACGATGCGAGCCTTAGTTGAAAGCCAGCAGTCCTTGGCTCGTCTCCTGTTGGCTCTACGGCCGACGCCTACCCTATGTCCAGTGCTGTTGGAGGTACCGCCGACTACTCTCCTGCCGGGGGTCTTGCCAACCCTATGTTCTGTGCCGTTGGAGGTCCCGCCGACTACTCTTCTGCCGGGGGTCCTGCCAACCCTATGTCCAGTGCTGTTGGAGGTCCCGCCGACTACTCTTCTGCCGGGGGTCCTGCCAACCCTATGTCCAGTGCTGTTGGAGGTCCCGCCGACTACTCTCCTGCCGGGGGTCTTGCCAACCCTATGTCCTGTGCCGTTGGAGGTCCCGCCGACTACTCTTCTGCCGGGGGTCCTGCCAACCCTATGTCCAGTGCTGTTGGAGGTCCCGCCGACTACTCTCCTGCCGAGGGTCCTGCCAACTCCACGTCCAGTATCGTTGGAGGTCCTGCCGACACCTGTTCCGCTGTGGGTCCTGCCAACCCCATGTCCTGTCCCGTTGGGGGTCCCGCCGACAACTGCTCCGCCAGGTTTCCTGCCAACACCAGATCCTGTTCTGTTGGGGGTCCCGCCGACACCTGTCCCGCCGGGGGTCCTGCCAACTCTGTGTCCTGTTCCGTTGGGGGTCCAGTCGACACCAGCCCTTGCTACATCCGGGGTCCCATTGACACCAGCCCATGTCTTGTTTGGGGCCCCGTCTGCGCCTGTCCGGTCGGCTCCGGTTCCTGTCCGGTCGATACTGGGTCCTGCCCGTCCTCCGGAGCTGTCCTGTCGGCGCCTTCCTGCCCGGCCTCCGGAGCTGTCCCGTCGGCGCCTTCCTGCCCGGCCTCCGGAGCTGTCCCGTCGGCGCCTTCCTGCCCGGCCTCCGGAGCTGTCCCGTCGGCGCCTTCCTGCCCGGCCTCCGGAGTTGTCCCGTCGGCGCCTTCCTGCCCGTCCTCCGGAGTTGTCCCGTCGGCGCCTTCCTGCCCGTCCTCCGGAGTTGTCCCGTCGGCGCCTTCCTGCCCGTCCTCCGGAGCTGTCTCGTCGCCGCCTTCTTGTTCGCCCTCGAGCCCGGCCTCCTGAGTTCTCCAGCCGCGGTCTTCGCCCTCGGGCTCGGCCTCCTGATTCTTCCAGCCGCTGCCTTCGCCCTCGAGCCCGGTCCCCTGAGAGCCGCTGCCTTTGCTCTCATGCCCGGCCCCCTGAGTTCGCCCGCTGTGGCCGTCGCCCCTTTTTGGACTCTGCCTTGCCCCCGGGCCGTCCGCCCGGGACCCCTTTCGGGCCCGTCCTCCGGACCCCCTCCACCCACCCTTTTTGAAGTGTTAGACTATGTTTTTTGGGACGTCTGGGATCCGTCCCTTGAGGAGGGGGTTATGTCACGATCTGTCTGTGTTGTGTTTTGTCTTGTCTTTTTCTGGTTTCCTGTTTTGTTTTGAAATGTTTTCCTCGTGTCTTCTCTGTTCCTTCTTCCTGTGTTTGCCTTCCTGTCTTAGTTTCCCTGGTTTGTTTGATTGTGTTCACCTGTTGCCCTTGTGTTTCTGCCTCCCTTACCCCAGCTGTGTCTCGTCTTGTGATTACCCCTCTCTGTATTTAGTCTTGTCTCTTCCTGTGTTCCCCTGTCGGTTCATTGTTGGTTTTTCCTGTCTTCCTCCATGTCAGTCATGTTTGTTTCTCCTGTCTCCCACCATGTTGGTCACGGTCAGTTTTCTGTAGAACCTATGTGTTTCATGCCATGCTATTGTTAAGCTTTAAGAATAAAGCTCGTTTTTGTTTCGAGACCGTTTACCTTTTCTGATAGTCTGCATTTGGGTCCTACCCTTCCACGCATTCCTTACACATACTCTATCTACCTCACTTATGTTTGGAAGCTATTTGAAGAAACTGGATAGCTTAGAGGTCAAATATAGGCCTGAATGTTCTTTGTATTTTACAATCTGTTCATTTTATACCAGAAAACATTTTTTTCTAATAAATACCCTATTCTTTGCAAACCTGATATCTAATACTCTCAAACTGCCATTTTTTCCCCTGTAGATTTCAATAAAGACTTTTACATATTCAATGTGAGTGTGAACACTAAATTGTATTCTGTTCCATGTTTTGAAGTCTAAGCCACAAGGCAGCACAACACTTATCTCCTGATTCTGATATCTCTCATATTAACATGACATACCTATATTTTTGTATTTATAGATAAACCATTTGAAATTTCACTTATTCTCATTTTTAAACATGTATTTTCATTTAGTAATATTGTACAGTATATACAAACCTCTACACACTACAACAGCACATTTAAATATAATACAAATAAATAAAAAAATGGGTTGACTAGAATCAGATCTATAAAAAAGGCCTTAGTACGTGTCCATGTACAATATAAAATAGATAAAAACAAAGGGTGACATCAAGTTCCAGTGTCTCTTTATGACCTCAAACACATTACCTGTGGCTGCCCATCACTTTCAATACCGTTCTCTCGGGACCACATCAAAACATATTACATGGAAATGTGCAATGCAAAATCTACCCACCATCACGAAAAGCAATATTTGAGATCAGTCGGTACAGATTATGAAATATAGCTTTCTTCTTGTTTTTTAACAAGTTAATTCCAGTTTTGTAATTTCACGAATACCATTGAAATAGCTTAAGAATTATAACATTACTAATATAATTTTCCCTATATTTTAAGATAACGTTATTTATAGGGCACTTAAGTGGTGTAAAACCTGTATATCTGATAGTGTATGTTGTTGTAATACCTGGTTTGCTTAAAGGTGGGGTATGTAATTTATTTCAAAAACACTTTTTGTTATATTCCATGGAATGCTCTTAACATCCCGATAGCAATGAATATATTAAATGTGTGGAAGCCGTAGCGCTGTAAAAAGCACGACCAATCATTTTAGCCGGCCCGGCTAAAGTAACTGGATGGCCTACCTGCCTGTCAGCCTTCCATCTGTGCACAAACTTATCTCGTGCCCTCATTGGTCATGTGCACGTTCGTGTGTGTTGGAGGAGGGGCTCTGTAAGGAAGTGGCAGATTTTTTCCGGTTGTGTATTTTCAAATTCTAGCGCACTCGAGCTGGTTTCTCCAAAATGACATACCCCACCTTTAACAGTATGTTGTATTAAAGGTTTCAACATCATGTGAGCCACACCTTAAATAACCTTTAGCGCTGAAACCAGGGGAGGGAATTTAAGCTGCGCCCATTTTCAGCCGCACAGTAACCCACACAACTTGCACGACAGATTCACTGAACACTATAAAACCCATCCTCCCCTTCCTGTAGTCACTCACACCTGTGGTAAACAGAGCCTGTTTTACCGATCCAAAATTTCTCCAATTAAGGACTTCAATGTGATTTACGAAGCTCCCAACGAGAAAGGATTTATTTCTCAAGGAGATACTATCGCAGGCACAGTCACTTTCGCTTTGACTAAAGAAACCGGAGTGAAGGTGCTGGTGGTGAAAATCAAAGGGAACGCTCGTGTACACTAGATAGAGGGAACCGGAGATAGACGGAAATCGCGCACTGCGCACAGGAGATACTGGGCTGAGTATGCTAAACGAGAGAGAGAATCGCTGGCAAGGGGACTAC